GTGCTCCTATGGGGACAGCTGAAGAACCCTTTTGGAACCTTTTTTTTCTAAGAGTGTAGTCTGTCCTGAGTTCATTCTGGATGTAACAAAGGAACTATAAGCGCATTGGATTTGAGGACAGGTGATGTGGAGTTCAGGCACCAGCAACATATTTCTGTTGTACTCACTAAAGAACACTACAGAATGTCTAGCATCTGTAGTGGTCTAAGGCACTGCATTGCAGTGCTAACTGTGCCACTAGAGATCCTGGTTCGAATCCAGGCTCTGTCGCAGCCGGCCGCGACCGGGAGACTCATGGGCGGCGCACAATTGGCCCAGCGTCGTCCAGGGTAGGGGAGGGAATGGCCGGCAGGGATGTAGCTCAGTTGATAGAGCATGGCGTTTGCAACGCCAGGGTTGTGGGTTCGATTCCCACGGGGGGCCAGTATAAAAAAAAAATGATGTATTCACTAACTGTAAGTCGCTCTGGATAAGAGCGTCTGCTAAATGACTAAAATGTAAAATGTAAAAATGTAAATCGATCACTCAAGCACGGTCTGTGGAAGTTCACACATTTAGACATTCACCAAATACTGAACCCTGAACCTGCTTGTAGGTGTGTTGTATGTTCTTGCCATCCATAAAAAAATATATATCCAGGCCTATCTCACAGTCATATAGAACTGCATAAATGCAGCTATCTCTGTGTACCTTGTAAACTAAAAGCTTTTCTCTCGTAGTGTGTTTGGAGGTCTCAATTATGTTCTTTATATGTTCTGGCCTTGGATATTCTTGACGTTTTTAGATTACCACGAGCACATAGTGCAACCCTTGAATTCAATTCACAGAATGCCCTTTAATAATAAAAAAACCCATTAAACCAACAATCCGTGCTCATAATATGCTGAAATGCACTTGAAATAAAGTGGCTTGCGAAAGTATTCACCCCCCTTGGCATTTTTCCTATTTTGTTGCCTTACAACCTGGAATTAAAATTGATTTTTTGGGGGTTTGTATCATTTCATTTACACAACATGCCTACCACTTTGAAGATGCAAAATAAATAAAAATTGTGAAACAAACAAGAAATAAGACAAACAAACAGAAAACTTGAGCGTGCGCAACTAATCACCCCCCAAAAAGTCAATACTTTGTAGAGCCACCTTTTGCAGCAATTACAGCTGCAAGTCACTTGGTGTATAATTATAATTAGTCATTTAGCAGACGCTCTTATCCAGAGCGACTTACAGGAGCAATTAGGGTTAAGTGCCTTGCTCGAGGGCACATCGACAGATTTTTCACCTAGTGGGCTCGGGGATTAGAACCAGCGACCTTTCGGTTACTGGCACAACGCTCTTAACCACTAAGCTACCTGCCGCCCTAATGGTCCAATGTGTATGTCTCTATAAGCTTGGCACATGTAGCCACTGGGATTCTTGCCCATTCTTCAAGGCAAAACTGCTCCAGCTCATTCAAGTTGGATGGGTTCCGCTGGTGTACAGCAATCTTTAAGTCATACCACAGATTCTCAATTGGATTGAGGTCTGGTCTTTGACTAGGCCATTCCAAGACATTTAAATGTTTCCCCTTAAACCACCAAGTGTTCCTTTAGCAGTATGATTAGGGTCATTGTCCTGCTGGTAGGTGAACCTCCATCCCAGTCTCAAAACTCTGGAAGACTGAAACAGGTTTCTCTCATGAATTTCACTGTATTTAGCGCCATCCATCATTCCTTCAATTCTGACCAGTTTCCCAGTCCCTGCCGATGAAAAACATCCCCACAGCATGATACTGCCACCACCATGCTTCACTGTGGGGATGGTGTTCTCAGGGTGATGAGAGGTGTTGGGTTTGCGCCAGACATAGCGTTTTCCTTGATGGCCAAAAAGCTAAATTTTAGTCTCATCTGACCAGAGTACCTTCTTCCATATGTTTGGGGAGTCTCCCACATGGCTTTTGGCGAACACCAAACCTGTTTGCTTATTTTTTTTCTTTAAGCAATGGCTTTTTTCTGGCCACTCTTCCGTAAAGCCCAGCTCTGTGGAGTGTATGGCTTAAAGATACTCCAATCTCCGCTGTGGAGCTTTGCAGCTCCTTCAGGGTTATCTTTGGTCTCTTTGTTGCCTCTCTGATTAATGCCCTCCTTGCCTGGTCCTTGAGTTTTCGTTGGGGCCCTCTCTTGGCAGGTTTGTTGTGGTGCCATGTTCTTTAAATTTTTTAATAATGGATTTAATGGTGCTCCGGGGGATGTTAAAAGTTTCTGATATTTTTTTATAACCCAACCCTGATCTGTAATTCTCCACAACTTTGTCCCTGACCTGTTTGAAGAGCACCTTGGTCTTCATGGTGCCACTTGCTTGGTGGTGCCCCTTGCTTAGTGGTGTTGCAGACTCTGGGGCCTTTCAGAACAGGTGTGTATATATACTGAGATCATGTGACAGATCATGTGACACTTAGATTGCACACAGGTGGACTTTATTTAACTAATTATGTGACTTCTGGAGGTAATTGGTTGCACCAGATCTTATTTATGGGCTTCATAGCAAAGGGGGTGAATACATATGCACGCACCACTTTTCCGCTATTTATTTATTAGAATTTTTTGAAACAAGCCCTTCTTACAGCTGTTTGCTTAGAAATTCTAGGGACAATCAGGAGGCCTGCGTCTCGTGACCGTAGCGTACGTGTAGGTATGTACGGCAGGACCAAGTTTTCATTTCACTTCACCAATTTGGACTATTTTGTGTATGTCCATTACTTGAAATCCAAATAAAAATCCATTTAAATGACAGGTTGTAATGCAACAAAATAGGCAAAACGCCAAGGGGGGTGAATACTTTTGCAAGCCACTGTATGCCCTGTGTCACGTTCTTTCATGAACGGGTCAGACCAAGGCGCAGCGGGATATGCCAACATGTTTATTAAACGAATAAACACAACGACAAAACAATAAACCAACGATACGTGACGTCCTAAGGTACACACAACAAACCTCACACGGAACAAGATCCCACAACCCACTAGTGCCAATAGGCTGCCTAAGTATGGTCCCCAATCAGAGACAACGAGCGACAGCTGCCTCTGATTGGGAACCACACCGGCCAACATAGATCTATACATAAGAGAACACCAAACATAGAAATACACAACATAGAACATACACACCCTGACTCAACATATAAGCGTCCACTGAGTCAGGGCGTGACAGTACCCCCCCCCCCCCCCCCACTAGCTTGGTGCGAGGGGCAGGAACAGGCCGGGCCGTACTGGGAACACGCACCACTGGCTTTGTGCGGGGGGCAGGAATGGGCCGGAAAGGACTGGCGACACGCACCACTTGCTTGGTGCGAGGAGCAGGACTGGGTTCCTTTATTAACCCCCGCTCCTTCTGCTGCCTAACCAGCTCCTCTCGCCGTGCCTCTACACCTTCCTTCTGCTCCCTCTGAACCAATGGCCCCCGTAATCTGGTGGCCTCTCCTAACCAGCAGATCCGCCCTGTCGCGGCCTCCTGCTGCCTCGTCGTCCACACCGTGTGCCCCCCCCCCCCAACATTTTCTTGGGATTGCCTCTCCACCCTGATCAGGGCCTCCATCTTCCTTGCCAGATCCTCTCTCATCTTCTGCCAAGTCCATCCTCTCTGCTCCTCCTCGGCACACTGCTTGGTCCAGGTCTGGTGGGATCTTCTGTCACGTTCGTTCATGAACGGGTCAGACCAAGGCGCAGCGTGATATGCCAACATGTTTATTAAACGAATAAACACAACTACAAAACAATAAGATATAAGAAGATGTGGCTCCAATTATGTTAAAATGTTTTGCAGATAGGGATGTATCCACTGTCCATGTGTGTAGAGACAGTATAGAGATAGGTCAGCCTTCATGTGTGTAGAGACAGTATAGAGATAGGTCAGCCTTCATGTGTGTAGAGACAGTATAGAGATAGGTCAGCCTTCATGTGTGTAGAGACACTATAGAGATAGGTCAGCCTTCATGGAGGCCCTTGCTCATATCCAGCTCATTTTCAAACGTTGCTATGGGACGTTGCTATGGGACGTTGCTATGTGCACTTCCAAAGAACGGGAGTGATGGATTCGACTTCTGCTTTACTTCCCTACTGCAGTAGGAAATTATTAGAAAGAGTCGATTTATAACAAATAAGTGTAATTTTATATTTATTTAATTCAAGTTCGCTAATGTTAGCTATACCTACTAGTAGGCTAGTTCTGTTGTGATAATAACGTTAGTTGTGCTATGGTAGAGATAATTAAGGCCCAGGCCATCCACCAAGCCAATAACTATAATGATAAACATATAGTAGGTCATAATTAAATGTGGGAGCACCACTCTGAGAAGGTTATTGTTCAGTTGCTACAGTGCCTACTATCAACTGAGCAACATGCACTCCTATAAAAGAGTGTGGAATCGACTTCTGAGTCTCTACCAGATAGGAATTATACACATAGAGTCTTAAACACAGATAGGTTTCAGCTTCATGAGGTTTACACATATATTTAATTCATAGGTGGTCTCTGTATAGCTGTAACACGTGGCTTGTACGCAGTGTGGGTATACCGGGACACCCATCAGAAAAAATGTTGCACGCCATGACTAAGCGCTTTGATAAAGCGTCGCTAAGGGTATATATTATATATGGTCTTAACCACAGTAACTGTTAGAATTCTGGGTCTCTACACCACAGATACTGGTTCAGACATTCATAGGTCTCTAAACACATATACTGGTTCAGACCATTCAGGTCTCTAACCACGAACTGGTTAGACATTCTGGTCTCTAACAACAGATACTCAGACCATTCAGAGGTTTACCCCAGATACTGGTTCAAGACCATTCATGAGGTCTCTAACCCACAGATACTGGTTCAGACCATTCATGAGGTCTCTAACCCACAGATACTGGTTCAGACCATTCATGAGGTCTCTAAAACACAGATACTGGTTCAGACCATTCATGAGGTCTCTAACCCACATATACTGGTTCAGACCATTCATGAGGTCTCTAACCACACAGATACTGGTTCAGACCATTCATGAGGTCTCTAACCCACAGACACTGGTTCAGACCATTCATGAGGTCTCTAACCCACAGATACTGGTTCAGACCATTCATGAGGTCTCTAACCCACAGATACTGGTTCAGACCATTCATGAGGTCTCTAACAAACAAATACTGGTTCAGACCATTCATGACGTCTCTAACCCACAGACACTGGTTCAGACCATGAGGCCTCTAACATACAGATACTGGTTCAGACCATGAGTTCTGTAACCCACAGATACTGGTTCAGACCATTCATGAGGTCTCTAACCCACAGATACTGGTTCAGACCATTCATGAGGTCTCTAACCCACAGATACTGGTTCAGACCATTCATGAGGTATCTAACCCACAGATACTGGTTCAGACCATTCATGAGGTCTCTAACCCACAGATACTGGTTCAGACCATTCATGAGGTCTCTAACCCACAGATACTGGTTCAGACCATTCATGAGGTATCTAACCCACAGATACTGGTTCAGACCATTCATGAGGTCTCTAACCCACAGATACTGGTTCAGACCATTCATGAGGTCTCTAACCCACAGATACTGGTTCAGACCATTCATGAGGTCTCTAACCCACAGATACTGGTTCAGACCATTCAGTGCTTTCAGGGTGTGTTCATTGTCATAGTGACAACTGCCAATAATGCTTCAATGTACATGTAGGCCTAATTAAAACTAATATAGTAACTCGTATTTAAATGTAGCAATTCAACAACAAACACTGTGTATCCTGCGCATCTTTTACATCATGTCATTGCCTCGTTGCTCAACTGGTTTGGAAGGGATTTCCATTTTTCTAATGGTTGTCAATTCTTCTTATTCACTGTGCTCATCTCTCTGTCTGTCCTGTACAACTATTTGCAATGCTTCAGTGCAACAATGTTATCATAACAGGCCAAAAATGATCACACCAATACACTTTCTCTCCTCAACTTCTTATTCTTCTTCTTCGATGGGGTTTCACGACGTTTGGCAGCCAATATTAATGGTGCATTACTGCCACCAGCTGGATGGGGTATTGAACGAGAAAATCTAAATCCATTGCAGGAAAGGGGGAAAAACAACATGATACAAAATACAAAAATAGACAAACAAAACCTATCCCACTTCTTCAGTCACAGTCCATTCCAAAACCCATCCCATTTCTTCAGTCACAGTCCATTCCAAAACCCATCCCACTTCTTCAGTCATAGTCCATTCCAAACCCATCCCACTCCTTCAGTCACAGTCCTTTCCAAAACCCATCCCACTCCTTAAATCACAGTCCATTCCAAATCCCATCCCACTCCTTCAATCACAGTCCATTCCAAAATACATCCCACTCCATTCCAAAACCCATCCCATTTCTTCAGTCACAGTCCACTCCAAAACCCATCCCACTGCTTCAATCACAGTCCATTCTAAAAACCCATCCCACTGCTTCAATCACAGTCCATTCCAAAACCCATCCCACTCCCTCAATTACAGTACATTGCAAAACCCATTCCACTCCTTCAATCACAGTCCATTCCAAATCCCATTCCATCCCTTCAATCACAGTCCATTCCAAAACCTATCCCACTCCATTCCAAAACCCATCCCACTGCTTCAATCACAGTCCATTCCAAAACCCATCCCACTTCTTCAGTCACAGTCCATTCCAAAACCCATCCCACTGCTTCAATCACAGTCCATTCTAAAAACCCATCCCACTGCTTCAATCACAGTCCATTCCAAAATACATCCCTACACAGGCTAAGGGGCCTGTGAGGGCAGAACATTCACCAACAGGATTTCTTGCAATGTCTCAGCTGTAAAATCACGAAGACCCAAGAAACGTTCAGCTGCATTCACAATGATTCCAATTTCCTCTGACTTCTCCGCTTGTGCTGTACAGTTTATGACCATTGCAATAAATAATCCAGTCATTTTTTTTTGTATTGTGTTTTATTAGGATCCCCATTAGCTGTTGCAAAAGCAGCAGCTACTCTTCCCGGGGTCCACACAAAACACGAAACATGACATAATACAGAACATTAATAGACAAGAACAGCTCAAGGATAGAAGTACATCAAAAAATTGTTTTAAAGGCACACGTAGCCTACATAGCAATACATACACACAAACTATTTAGGTCAAACTACCTGGGTTGATGAGGAATCGTGACTGGTCGTGGTGGCTCTACTACCATTGTTTCTTCCGCCGCCACTCATTCTTTCCCCTCTTCTCAAACGCCTAAAGATAGGAGACATGCTGAACACCCCTTGCTCTTGCCACCTCGGTCTCCTGCACCTTGACAGGGGCACTCCAGGAGTATGTTCGCCTTCACATTTGCAGCATTTCACTTCATCTGGCATAGGATACTCTTCCCTTCTGAACACACTTGACACATGACCAAATATTTTTGTTGTTGTTGCTTTCATGACACTGAAGGGGCTTGCGCACAAAAGCTCTTACAGGGGTATCTGATGAATCCTAACTTTATATGAGAAGGGAGAGACTCTACATCAAAGAACTGTAGCATGGGATGAAGTGAATATATTTTCTCCATCCCACCATAAGTGTCAGTCGACGTGCCTCGACCACTCCATCGACATCTTCAGTTATATCATCCATTTACATTTTTTTTTACATTTACGTCATTTAGCAGACGCTCTTATCCAGAGCGACTTACAGGAGTAATTAGGGTTAAGTGCCTTGCTTAAGGGCACATCGACAGATTTTTCACCTAGTCGGCTCAGGGATTAGAACCAGCAACCTTTCAGTTACTGGCACAACGCTCTTACCCACTAAGCTACCTGCCGCCCCGACTTACTTCTTGCGCAGAAATAACCCCCTTGACAGGCGCCCCTGCTACGAAAATCCATACAGGAAACATTCCATTACGATGTATTTTCTAGGCTAAAAACAGGCTTCTTCTGCCCTGCTCCACAGACACAATAAAACATCTAAATAAGACCACTTCAAGTGAGACTCTCACCAACTCCACACTTTCCTCCAACATATTCCAGATTTTCCTCCAGACGTTGAACGGATTTCCCAGGTAGCGTTGGTCCAACACCCTCACTCCAACTAAAAACGAGTCTAGGGGTTTCCTAGTTCCCACCACAACTTGACTGCTCTTGTTGCCCTTCTTCTTTGCCCCCTGTTACGTGTTACGAGATAGATGGGAGGTGTTGAATGGAGCTGAAGGATGTGACTAATAACAACTAACAACAACTAATAACAACAAGATAACTAATGTAAAGCATACTGTGTCCATAATAAGTATATAGGTTATAGGTTGAGAGCTTTTGTGAAAGAGCACAGTTAGAAAGATATGGCATATAGAAGCAAACCGGATGGACATCATGTAAAATGATCAGAGAGGTTGAGGGTAGAGGAAGTTAAGGAGTAAAAACAAACCAAATAGAATTATTGTCAAATTGACTTTGTCCATAAAATGTATATAGTATGTATAAACTGGAAGTAGAGGCATAATCATTGTTGTTCACTAGTTTACTCCAATTAGGGAAGGGGTGGTGGGTTGGAAAGTAATAAAGGGAAATATATTTTTAAAAAGGATATGTATATGTATTTATATGTATGTCTGTGTATACACATATATATATATATATATATATATATATATATATATATATATATATATATATTTGCGAGAAGAAAAAACATATGGGGGATTGGAAGTGATGCAGACAATTACATTGATGGAAGTTACAATCTATCTGCAATATTAAAGCTGATCTACCCCCCACCCAAAAATAAAAAATAGAAAAAAAAAAGATAAGTTATAATAACACATACAAGTATATACAGTGGGGAAAAAAAGTATTTAGTCAGCCACCAATTGTGCAAGTTCTCCCACTTAAAAAGATGAGAGAGGCCTGTAATTCTCATCATAGGTACATGTCAATTATGACAGACAAAATTAGAAAAAAAAATCCAGAAAATCACATTGTAGGATTTTTAATGAATTTATTTGCAAATTATGGTGGAAAATAAGTATTTGGTCACCTACAAACAAGCAAGATTTCTGGCTCTCACAGACCTGTAACTTTTTCTTTAAGAGGCTCCTCTGTCCTCCACTCGTTACCTGTATTAATGGCACCTGTTTGAACTTGTTATCAGTATAAAATACACCTGTCCACATCCTCAAACAGTCACACTCCAAACTCCACTATGGCCAAGACCAAAGAGCTGTCAAAGGACACCAGAAACAAAATTGTAGACCTGCACCAGGCTGGGAAGACTGAATCTGCAATAGGTAAGCAGCTTGGTTTGAAGAAATCAACTGTGGGAGCAATTATTAGGAAATGGAAGACATACAAGACCACTGATAATCTCCCTCGATCTGGGGCTCCACGCAAGATCTCACCCCGTGGGGTCAAAATGATCACAAGAATGGTGAGCAAAAATCCCAGAACCACACGGGGGAACCTAGTGAATGACCTGCAGAGAGCTGGGACCAAAGTAACAAAGCCTACCATCAGTAAAACACTACGCCGCCAGGGACTCAAATCCTGCAGTGCTAGATGTGTCCCCCTGCTTAAGCCAGTACATGTCCAGGCCCATCTGAAGTTTGCTAGAGTGCATTTGGATGATCCAGAAGAGGATTGGGAGAATGTCATATGGTCAGATGAAACCAAAATATAACTTTTTGGTAAAAACTCAACTTGTCGTGTTTGGAGGACAAAGAATGCTGAATTGCATCCAAAAAACACCATACCTACTGTGAAGCATGGGGGTGGAAACATCATGCTTTGGGGCTGTTTTTCTGCAATGGGACCAGGACGACTGATCCATGTAAAGGAAAGAATGAATGGGGCCATGTATCGTGAGATTTTGAGTGAAAACCTCCTTCCATCAGCAAGGGCATTGAAGATGAAACGTGGCTGGGTCTTTCAGCATGACAATGATCCTAAACACACCGCCCGGGCAACGAAGGAGTGGCTTCGTAAGAAGCATTTCAAGGTCCTGGAGTGGCTTAGCCAGTCTCCAGATCTCAACCCCATAGAAAATCTTTGGAGGGAGTTGAAAGTCTGTGTTGCCCAGCGACAGCCCCAAAACATCACTGCTCTAGAGGAGATCTGCATGGAGGAATGGGCCAAAATACCAGCAACAGTGTGTGAAAACCTTGTGAAGACTTACAGAAAACGTTTGACATGTGTCATTGCCAACGAAGGGTATATAACAAAGTATTGAGAAACTTTTGTTATTGACCAAATACTTATTTTCCACCATAATTTGCAAATAAATTCATTAAAAATCCTACAATGTGATTTTCTGGATTTTCTTTCCTCATTTTGTCTGTCATAGTTGACATGTACCTATGATGAAAATTACAGGCCTCTCTCATCTTTTTAAGTGGGAGAACTTGCACAATTGGTAGCTGACTAAATACTTTTTTCCCCCACTGTATATATATTTGCAAGATATATATACACACATTCTCACACTCTGTTCACACTCTCTCCTCAACTTTCCCCGACATGCATTTTCTATGCTGTAAGCCTGTTTTACGTTCAGCAATTAGCAAGAGCAAG